ACCGAATGAGCAACCTTGGTGCCGGACTCAGCAAACCTACTTGGGGTATGTCCCCCCAATATGCGCAATACATCCATCATGATCATACTAACAGTATACTGCAGACCTTAGCAAACTCCCCAAGTTCGAGAAATCATTCTACAAAGAGGATGAAGCTGTTGCTTCGCGACCCAGCAGCGAAGTTGACCGATTCCGACGCGATCACCAAATTACGGTCGCTGGTCACGACGTTCCCAAACCTGTCGAGACTTTCGACGAAGCTGGTTTCCCCAGATACGTTATGGATGAGGTCAAGGCCCAGGGCTTCCCTGCTCCTACCGCCATTCAGTCCCAAGGCTGGCCGATGGCTCTTTCCGGTCGCGATGTCGTTGGTATTGCCGAGACAGGCTCTGGAAAGACACTTACGTACTGCCTTCCCGCTATTGTTCACATAAACGCCCAACCCCTACTCGCCCCTGGCGATGGTCCCATTGTCCTTGTGCTCGCTCCTACCAGAGAGTTGGCTGTTCAGATTCAACAGGAGATTACCAAATTTGGCAAATCATCCCGAATCCGCAATACCTGCGTCTACGGTGGTGTCCCTCGTGGTCCCCAGATTCGAGATCTCTCTAAGGGAGTCGAAGTCTGCATTGCCACACCCGGTCGTCTGATTGACATGCTCGAAGGCGGCAAGACCAATCTCCGCCGCGTTACTTACTTGGTTCTTGACGAAGCTGATCGTATGCTTGACATGGGTTTCGAGCCCCAGATTCGAAAGATCATCAGCCAAATTCGACCCGACCGTCAGACACTCATGTGGTCTGCTACCTGGCCCAAGGAAGTTCGAGCTTTGGCCGCTGAGTTTCAGACAGACTTCATCCAAGTCAACATCGGTTCGATGGATCTTTCTGCGAACCATCGTATCACTCAAGTCGTTGAAGTAGTTTCCGAGGGAGAGAAGCGTGATCGCATGATCAAGCATCTAGAGAAGATCATGGACAACAAAGAGAACAAGTGTCTCATCTTCGTAGGAACAAAACGTGTTGCCGATGACATTACAAGATTCCTCCGCCAGGATGGCTGGCCAGCACTGTGTAAGTTATTTCCACGATATAAATCCTCCCACTAACTTTTTTTTTGCAGCAATACACGGCGACAAACAACAGAACGAGCGTGATTGGGTCCTGGATCAATTCAAGACAAACAAAAGTCCCATCATGGTCGCCACTGACGTGGCTTCTCGTGGTATTGGTATGATTAAAATTCCCCCATCCCTATCCCATCCCCCCAACTTCCAGCAGAGTTATATCCGATGTGCTTGACTGTGATGTCTAGGGGCTTTCTTGATTGCGCACATATTTCTGGCCTAATCGTGTCTCGTGGTTCTCCTTGCACCTTGATGATCGGGATCAATGGTATGGCCCAAGGGCCGTGTCGATGTTTCGCTTTGTACCTGATGTGCTGTGGTACAAACTAGGCGAAGTTGAGCATTTCTTGATTCTATCAAGCTATCTCTTTAAGATTCCCGAATCCCGAGGACCCGGACCAGACTATTGGGATCAATTCCAGATTGGCAGTGTTGATGCAACAGACAGCCCCATTCTCGATGGAGAAGGCACGGAACAATATGCTTATGGCACCTAAATCCGCCGCTGGGACTTGCTTCGTAGCAACTCGTTTTCTAGAGCTAACCTTTTGTGATAAAGATGTGCGCAACATCACTCACGTGATCAACTATGATTATCCGAACAACTCGGAGGACTATATTCATCGTATTGGCCGTACCGGCCGTGCTGGCGCCAAGGGTACCGCCATCACATTCTTCACTACTGACAGTAAGTCTCACACTATTTCACACTTTTGAAGTTTAGCTAACCCGCAATACCAGACTCGAAGCAGGCTCGTGACCTCGTTGGTGTTCTTCAAGAGGCTAAGCAACAAGTCGACCCAAGATTAGCCGAGATGGCGAGATACGGTGGTGGTGGTGGTGGCGGCCGATACGGCGGCCGTGGTTATGGACGTGGTGGCCATCGTGGTAGGTTTAATTCATGTTGCTGATCCACACGCAAGCTAACTCAATTATTAGGTGGTGGCGGCGCCGGTGGTGCTAACGCCATGCCCCTCGGTAGCCGACGGTGGTGATTAAACTTTCTACAGGTGCCTTGAAGACCCCAGATTCCTACTACCACAGCCTAGCAGCTCTTGTGGGATTGTTAAGGTCATCTTAATTCGCAAAAGCACAAACGGCGTTATTTAGAGGGTTCGGTTGATTAGACATGGTAATATCGACTTTCTTCAAGTGGTGCATCTCTTCAATGAGATCTGCACCTGTCGTTAATCCTTTGATTTCCTCAGGAGAGATGACAAAGTTTCCTATGTCTCTAAAAGGACGAGGTTACCGTGGTTTGAGGAGAGGCTCAGTATTTGTACAGTTTAGGGTCCCTCATGAGGAGGTAGCCGGCAGCCTTGCCTGTTACTATGCAAAACACTGGCTGTGGAACTTGCTGACCCGATTATAGATTGGAACTGCTAAACTACGTCATTGACTGCCAACGTCTGCCATGTTCATGTAGATCCATTTGTTCTAGTTGCACTCGTTAGGAGGCAAATCAGACAGCCTAGGTAGCATAAGAACGTTTCGTAATATATTTCCCGCATTCAGTGACACATCTCTAGTATTTGTGAATATACCACGTGTTAAGTAGTGGCACAGTCACCAGGCTGTCAAGCGGCGTAGTCATTGCAACGGCATATGGCCATTGGTTCTCATCTTATTCCTTTCTACTTTTGCCGAGACTTGGCTACATCAAGACCATCTGGGGTGGGTAAGGTTATTAAGATGGCACTCGAAAATAGGCACACAATATATATCCGGCCCTGGTTCCATTTACCCGGAGCTCGCAAGTCACATTCCGCTCAGTTTCTCCTTCTACCTTAGTGTCATAAGGTATGCTGGTATGGTGCCTCGCGATTCCTAGATGACGGATGGCTTGTTTATCGCTCACTGCTTGTTGCTCTCCGTCCCACGCGCCTGGGGTTTATAATTACATCGGTAGAATGGCGTTAGGTATATCATTCTGGCTCGTGTGAACCAGACTTGTTGCGATTCCCCTCTTGTCACGCCCTGGAACAAGCCTGTTGTCCGTACGAACGACCTACTAGTAGAAGAGGTCTACCGATTCGGCATTTCGAACTTGATCATTGTCCTTGGATTAGTGTTGAATATGAAGACCGCCGGAGTACTCGCGTTCTTGGTTGCCGCTGTCCAGGCCGCTCCTCACTGTAGGTGCTTATCATCAGATTGGTTTTGTTGGTCACAAGGCTCTGTACACGTTTTGATGCTTCTTGGAAGTCTTTCCTTCTCGTGATACACACTTCAAAGCCTTGACTGAGTAGCTTCGTTGTTACTTGTCATAATCATAAACTAATTGTGGCAGACACCTTCCCCGAGCTCGTCGGAACGTCGGAGTGGTCATCAGTGCGCCAGGTCAGTATCTCGAACTTCTTTATCCCCGGGCTCTCGACGCTTCCAAAGAGCAAGAGCTGGCTTGACCGGCGATGCTTGGTTCTACACCCATTGTTGTTTTAATAACCCACACAAATCTTTCCACATCAACCGGAAAACACATATTCCTAACATGATATTTCCAAATAGACAGCCAACTTCCAGAGCAATGGCCCCGTAACGGACGTCACCAGTGATGCGATCCGATGCTATGAACGGGCCCCGGGCGGCGCACCGGATATCACCAAGGTCAACGCCGGCGGTCAGATTACCTGGCAGGTGGCTCCGAACATCTATCATCCAGGAGCGCTGTCTGCGTACATGGCTAAGGTCCCCAGCGGTCAGACTGCTGCGACGTGGGATGGCAAGGGCGCGGTCTGGTTCAAGGTCTTCCAGGATATGCCGACTGTTAGTAGTGGACAATATGTTTGGCCATCTAATGGTAAGTAGTGTTCTTGTTCTTGTTATGGTTTTGGTTTTCGATTGGGTTGGACATCTCGATTTTGGTGTGGGAATATGGAGAAAAGAAGGAAGATGGCCTGAACTACTTGGGGTATTGGATAGCATCTACTGACTTTGCTGCACATATAGGAAAAGCCCAGGTTAGCTTCACTGTTCCGCAGTGCCTGGCTAATGGCGATGTGAGTACTTCCCGAAGATGATTCTTCCCATTGGTTGTTCTGCCCAATGTTGACAATCTAAACCCCTACATATCCCCGTCGATGGAATTATACTGACCCTGAATGTCATAGTACCTGTTCCGTATCGAGCATGTTGCCCTTCACAGCGCGAGTTCCGCAGGTGGCGCCCAGTTCTATATCTCGTGTGCTCAGATCACGGTTTCTGGTGGTTCAGGTTCCAAGATGCCGTCGAACCTCGTCTCCTTCCCTGGTGCTTACAAAGCTACCGACCCCGGCCTCCTCATCAATATCTACAACAACGGTGGCAAGACCTACCAGCCTGCTGGCCCATCTGTCTTCACTTGCTGAGCGTAAGCAGCCATCGGGAAAAGAGGATTTCTAATCGACAGGGTGGAGGTTGGAGGGTGTCCATGGGGAAGGGGAATTCACGCTGGAATTCGATCCTCAGGATAGACCATGGTAGGGGTGTATTCTCGTATATTCTAATATGAAACGTTCATGTAAATTCTCAGTGCCAGGTCCGTGCGCAATGTTATGCTAAGGTCTCTAGACTGTTGATGCTCAACGTCGATATCATGTTGTGCACTCAACTCAAAACAGAGATGATCTACTCACCTTTCCACGCAATATCGGATTTACTTTTCGTTGTTTTAAGAATCCAATTCGCTACCATCATCTATAGTATGAATAAGCAACAACACCTTTATGTTGTACAACATGACGTCCCACATTAGACCCACACACAGCGTTGCCTTTGGTTTATATCAGAAGGTACGAGATCCCGTATGGCGAGCCGAGTAGACAAGTAAAAGGGAATGATAGCTGATAAATGATCGTACAAGAGAAAAAAAATGATACAAAAATGAACAGAGTAACTCTCGATCGGGGAATCGAACCCCGTCCACCTGCGATTTGCTTGTTAGAAGATCGTGGGCGTTAGTCTCCACGATCGTGGGATTAACATCAACTAATGACAAGCAGGTATCCTGACCACTAGACCAATCGAGATTGAGACGACTCGATATACGAGCGATGGAGGCTCGCTCTATTTCGTATTTCGACTAGAGTTTGCTAGGTTAGTTTCCGAGTCATGAACTAACTTCAATGAGCGGAGTGGGGTCTAAATAGAGAGGAGATCATTTACTTTGCATATCTTGCTTTCCGGGAGTCGTATGAATGTTACCACTGTATATCTGTAAAGCTAGCAATGAATATTCTCGGACGCTTGCAACACGCAGCAACTTGTCCGAGAAAGGCTGTTGTGTCTTGCAATGTTTCTATCGGTTGTTCTAGACTAGTAGACGTCGAATTCCTTCTTCGTCTTAGTTTATACGAACTGCCCCAGAACAGCAGATTATCGTGACATGTGGCGTCTGGCAAGACAAAGTATGGACGGATGTGATCAGGGGACCTACCGTTGCAGGAAGGTGATCGTGATAAAACTTGTGTTGATCTGAAGGTACGGATATGCATATTTGGTATGGCCTACACATTTGTGGCCAACATGATCCGCAGTCAGTACGCCTCAATTCTGTTTTATTCAAATCAGCGTTGTATTTTACGCATACAAATGAAATCTACTGTCCAACCACTCGATAAAGCATGCGGGGTATGGTTGAGAAAGCACGATTCATGGCAACCTCCATAGTGTGAGGCTGGATCGCCGGACGAATCTCCACACCGCATTTTTCGCAATCGGCCCCGACCCAGACCCGAGCGAAGATTTCGTCCATAAAAGTGGAATTTGCCGTAGTCACTACTCGGCTTTTCTTGTGCCTAGACTAGAGAGATAAGGAGGCTTCTGGACTGGGTCGCTTGGGTCGCCAAGAATGAGACAATCCGTGTTTGTTTGGAGATCTTGATGTAGACAATATCTTATGTTCTCAAGCTTGTTTGTTCGAGTCTCTGAACCATTTGCTTTACGACTGTCTGCTTAGACATCACACCCTCAGGATTTTAAGTATCCGCATTAATTTAATTTGGAAGGATGCTGATGAGCGTAATGCGGCCAGGGGAAAATGATGACGCGGGGGAATATGTACGTACCAGTCAGTCTACAACCGGCCACGCCCTTAACCCTCTGATTCCTGCGCCTGTAAGGTTTGGGGCTACAAACAATACTGACTGGTGTATGTTGTGCCTCTTTCTACGGACATCTGCTTATAAAGCTCTCGGCACCCTCCCGTCGAATTCAACGTCATTGTGACCTATCTACACTAGACGATAATACGAAATATATATCCATATGCTATAAATAGATAGAGATTGCTACAGTTCTAGCCACGATAATTAGTGTGCTGGTAAATGATGAAGGTTGGTAACCTCGTAACTACCCGCTGGAGTACCGTACACAAATAAACGCCTCGAAACTCAATCGATCAGTGAGGCTTTGATACATGTAAAGCTGACTGAATACTGGTACTCGCATCAACATAACAAGTCATTATCCAGCCGTAGGTGACATGTCAGAACGGCAGCTTCCGAAGCCGCTACGATATGAATGTGATGTCTCTTTCGCCGATGCGTGTAATTCAAAGGGTGAACTGTCTCAGAAAGTTTGTACCGAGGTGGAGGCAAGGGATTCAGTTGTTTTATCCTTTTTATCTATTTTCTCCCCAACCTGCGAGGCACGCGTTTGTCAGCTCTGGATTCAGCCGCATCATTTTCCCTCGTTAGAAACAGTCTTGTGACTCAGCAAGTAATTGGCTCCAGGGGTGCAAGTCCTTAATATCTCTTTATACGATTCCCTTTTATCTCTACAATGAATTAAAAAAAATGTCTTGCCCGTTTCATTGCTTTTCAGTGCCATGTAGGCAGCCCAGGCACGCAATATTTAGGTTAGAAATCACGGTGGCTTGGATGACCAAGAAAAAGTCACCCGTTTTCCAGCGCCTCTCAGCAGCAAGCCACCCACCTATATTAACACATATAATTCGGCCGAGCGGTCAAACCCCGATCAGAACTGAGAAAGAAATGACGGGGCGGTATGCAAGCAAGCCACTCTACTTCACACAGGTATTCGCTCTGTCGATGGTTGGCTCATATTCCTCGGCTACATGTAGAAGAGACATGATACAATTTTCTTTGCTTCTTGCTCTTCTGGCTGTTGCTGTCTGTCTATAGGGCTGTGGAATGAAGGAGGAGATTAGCTAATACTGGCTAGCAGACAAGTTGAACCAACGAAAATAGCAACTAAGTAATAGTAGTAATAGAGGCTAGTTACAGAAAATAGTGCCCTGTGAAACCTGCTTTTTTCCCACCACTTCCATAGCAACTCGATCAATCTGATGATGTGTAACGGGATCTAGCAGATTAGTGACAAGCGACCGCTCACTATCCGAACCAAGGGCTGCGCCAATGGCTGCCAGATCGCTCTTGGTTCCTACCTTAGACAGATCTCCTGCAAAGTGGTGTACCTATAGACTACTTTAGCAGTCACCGCTAATATGTTCTAGGGTACACTGCACGCTCTGGAACCATGCACTTTTGGCGTCACGGTAGGCCATCCGAGAGCACACTAGGAACCACGGACTGGCACCCATCACGATATTCTAAAGCCCTAAAAGACCACCCCCTCAATGCTCATGTGTCCTGCCTTTACGCAATTCTCTACTGCTATGCTCATGCTCATATAATCCGACCCACACGTCTGACGCATTGATGATCGAAAGCAGAACGACCTGCATCTTCGAATAGGAGAGAAATTCCGGCGGATTGATGAATACTACCTCATCCGCGTAAAGGACCTCGTCTGATTAGATGTCATCGTGATGCTAGCCGGGCGTCGGGGGTGCCGAAGTCCTTGGGGACGGGGGTGGTTTCGTGTAGGGAGGGCGATGAACGAGGAGATACGAAGCAGTAGAAAATCTGCCTGTCTTTCCTCCTGGTTGGGCATGGCATCGTGGGTCCCGTTTCGCTATTACTGCCTACATAAGAGATATAGAGCGAAAATCAAACGCACTACTGCCGTACGCGCGACCCGAGCGAGCAGCATCTCATTTCCCCTTAGTGCGAACCATCTACGAGTTGGGGATTTTTCTCGAATGAGAAGACACAGTACAATCCTTCCCAGGGAATTAGACTAGTGAGGAAGAGAAAAAGAGAGAAAATGCGTTTCCCCACCCAGCTGCATACTGTATTTGAAGGACTCTCGGGGAAATTGCCCAATGTCGTATACTCGTCGAAGATTCGTCTCCTGCCTGCCACCGCACAGAGAGGAACGAGCTCCTCAAGGGATAATTCGTTCGCAGTGGGCACACTTGTTCATCGTTGACGTCAATAGCGAGTCGGCGGGAGCTGCGGTAGCTGATGAATATGCCTTGGTTTTTCTGTGGATTTTCCTAACGTTCATATTTCATTCGCCGCTTTTGTGGTATTATAGAGAGATGATGGTAAGATGTCGAATTGAGAATTACACCGCATTGGCAATGCAGTCGCGGCATACTGTTTTTGTTCAGACACATATATACACGCGTTGCATACAGTACACGGCGTTATATCTAAGGATTGAAGTGGCTGGGGCTATTCTACCTACTCAGTACTCGTCCTGGGCGTCAAAAGGGCAAGGAGAAAACAAAAAGGATGCCTACTGTAGTGTTGTTGTGCATGGATCGCCACTGCAGCTTGGCAGCAGGGGTCCTTTGTATACCAGATCCAGACAAGTGGGTGATGTTCCCAGGGATCTCAGAGATATGGATAGGATCACACATTTGCCCAAGGTAGTGGTTAGGCGTAGGCGATGCGATGGGGTGGTAGTGTAGGACAAGGTATACATAGCCGTATCCCTTTCGCAGATGGCAGATGGCAGATGCGATTTGCTGGTGCGTTCCGGGGTCAGCATGAGAAATACCACCACAGTCTTTTGATTCTTTTTGGGTTTCGGTTTCTGTCTTCCTTGCCCATAAAAGCTACAGCCCCAGTTGCCACTTCGAGTCGTATATTACTATGATGTGAACGCACGAGTGGCCAGCTGAAGATGCCGAGCAAGTCATGCGCAAGCACTCTCGTCGATTTTTGTCGACTTGTCCGTTCCGTCTCCCCGCGACAAAGGATTTCCATCCAACGTCACTTTCTTTCAGATAACTCCCTCCCGAACCGGGGATAACTTGACTGACTGAGGACTGACTGACTGATGTACGGCGATTCGATATTTGCCCCCTCGCTCGAGCAATGCAATTCGACTGCAGGGGGCCTACATATATACTACATCAATAGGGATGGGAGCGCCTGGAACAGCACAATTATGGGTTCGCCCAGGTTGTGGTTCGGTCGATATTGGAGGCCTTGGCTGCTGTGCTTGCGCATGTGTAGGAGACATGACTCGATGTTATTCGTTTCAATGTGGTTTCTTACGGAGGTTGTACATGCAGACTTTCTACACTGGGAACCGGCCGAATCAGTCAAGGTTGCATGACGGTGGGTCTCACGTCGCATGCAATGCAAGCCCAACGATGAGATGAGCACTTTTTCCTCCGAGAGCGTTCTTGATGAATTGAGGTGTGAATACCGACCTCTGCACTTGGAGATCCTGGCCAGCCCTGCATGGTTGGGGAGCATGCTTAGGAGTGTACCATATACAGTCAATATTTCGTAGGTAGCAGCAGACACGATTATGAAAGAATAATACTGGTATTCCTCGGCGAAGACTACATCCGTAGTTATCGATCTGTGCGCATTGACTGTATCGAGGAGAAGATTCCTTTATCTCGGGACTCTTGCGTATTACAGTAGTGTAATCACAATCTCACAACATGGCTTACAGCAGTTGTGACGTGAGATTTAGCAAACAGGGATCCTTTGGTAGGCGAACGAAAACGGCGATATGATCTGTTTCCCGAGATCAAATGTCTCAATACTGCAGCCCACTGGCACAACAGGGTGTGGGAATGATCCATGGGAGACAGAGAGATAGGTACATGGTCTAGACGTATGTGTTTGGTAATAGTTCATTCAGACTCTTGCAGATAGTACCCTCGTTTGATATCATTATCACCAACGTACGCAGTAAA